TTCATTATATCAGTAAACGGTTTATTTATGAATATATAATTTCAGCAAAAAACTCTATGTACTATCGTGAATATCCTTATCCACTCATGATAAATATGGATCTTGACTTTTGATACATCCTCAAAAAATTTTCTTGATGGGGCACGAATCTCAAAGGAAAATCAAGTTGAAAACTTTCAAAATTAAATTTGGGATCATCCGTACTCCGATTTCAACAAACTTACTGTCGAATTGAACGTCTCAAGAATACGAACCCAACGACACCAAATTCTAAACGTCTCAAGAATACGATCCCAACGACACCAAATTCTACTCAATTCGAGAAAAATTCCGTCGGAACATCACATGACGCCTTGAATTCCTCGAACTTCCGTCATACCACTCGAAGTTCCGTCGTACCACCGCCTGACGCCGGAGTTCCACCGAAACATCGAATAACACCCCGAGTTCTACCAACTAACACCCGAGCTTCCAAGTGATGCCGGACTTCCGTCAGACCACCAAGTGACCCCGAAGTTCTGCCGGACCCCTAAGTGACATCGACCTTTCATCTACCCCTGATTTCAACCATACGGTTGACATTTGTAATATGATCGCCCATCGAGGGAAAGTCAACCCAATGTAATAAACTCGAATTCTAGTAGAATCATTTTCAACTGGGCAGAACCTGTGGTTTTCCCCTTTTGGGGGCTTTCCACGTAAAAATCTTGTGTTCTCTTTATGTGGTATGGATATCCGTACAAAGCTACGACGTCGGATTATAACTCATCGCCGCGTATATTCTAGCCCGCAATAGGTTTATAAAAAATTTGATTAATCAAAGATAAACAAATTAGTTTAACTTGTCTTGAAATAATATTTATTAAAAAATTGAAATGAAATATAAAGATGGTTGAAAACAATATCCTCATTGTTTTTAACAAATATAATCCTTTGAGAAGACGGTATGTGATCACGTGAGCGATCGTATGCCTAGGCGAGCATCACGGCACGCAGCGCGGATTCTGATTTCTGTAACCGTCGCTTTGAAGTCTGCTTTCCCGCATAAACCATTTTTCCTACTAGAAAATTATCCGAACCATAGAATCCGACCTGCAAGAGGACCAATACCCTGATTCCGCGGCTTGAAAAAAGCCAACACAGAGCATGTGCGTTCAATGCCTCAATGTTAGTTAGTTATTTATTTATTTCGAAAGGCAAATTAAATAAATAAATTGTTAAGGACCAATGCCCAGATTCTGCGGAGAGATTATTTTGTGCAGAGTATTATTAATTAACTTAACTAATACTCGTTTAAACAGCTAATGATAATTATGGTATATAAGATTCTCAGAGCTTATTAAATGCAATTAGTAATGAGGTTGTGATTTTTTTTTTTTATGCTATCTTAAATTCTGTATTTACAGAAATATGAATAAAGACTTGAAGGTTTACAAAACTTTTTTTTTTTTGCTGTGTATTTAAAAGATAGAATTGTAGCATAATTATATCATGAAATATTGTGCACTAAATACATCTATTTCATATAATTTTTTTATCAAAGTTTTTATTTTCCAAACATCATGTTAGTTGTTTCATGTTGAAATATCAAATATGTGTGACAGTGTAGAGAGAAATTATTATCTTAACATTATATCACATAAGCCTATAATAAATAGGTTAAGAGTAGATTATATGTTATATATATAATATTTTTCCGTGATGTGAGAGCATAATGATACAATACAACAAACATACATAATTTGTTGAAGATAAGATTTATGGTGGAACTTGGAGTCTTTATGTATTGAAAATACAATCGAGTGATCATGTTGATGACTCACTATCCTTACTAATAACTAAGAATGAGAGCTATGAAATTAGTAGAGACATGTGTCTCACTTGTTTGCAAGTTGGCATTCTTGCTAATGCCGATGATATGTATTGTCACTAACAATAGTGGGATTCAGCGTCTTTATCAAGTTTGGTTGCAACGATGGACGTTTGGTATCTGCATATAGCATTTTTAACTTTGTTCTCTTGTAATCTCACCCTTTCCTTTTAACGTGTATGGAAGCATAGTTTACTTATAAGTTTGTGGAATTGACATTCTAATATTTTAACTAGAAATCATAATACTCCCTAAGACAATTCTTATTGATCCCCTTAACCATATAATATTTTTAGGGCATTTTATATCATCATGAAGTTAGAATAGGGTGATCTAGGGATTAGTAAAGTTTTTGTCATTGAGATGCGTGTTTCGACTATAAAATTGTTAAAAATATAATCAAGATGATAAATATGTTGATTCCAAAAGTTTATAATTCAAATACTTGACATGGGCGGAACCGGCCTTGATTCTTAGAGGGGGCAAATTTATAAATAATACTTCTACACAATATGTTTAATTCTACTAGGAGGCAACCACCTAAAGATAATAGTATTTTAATTTTTTTAGGGGGGGGGGGACAATTGCCTAAAAACTCTTATAATAAAAAGTAAAAAAAAGGATTGAGAGACAATAAATACATAAATATCCATATAATAAACAATTTTTAAATTTTTTAGGGGGGTGGGGGGGGGAATTGCCCCCCTGGGGGCTAGGTGGTTACGCCCCTGTTCCTTGGGACTACTTCGAATAATTTCTACAGATAAAATGATTTTTTCTCTTGCCCGGCATAACAAATGTTCTATTTATTTATTTATTTTAATTTAAAATATAAGTTTAATGCAGGTAAAATTATTATCAACTTTTTTATAGAATATTCAGAATATTTATCAGTTTTGCTTTGTTTGGTAAGCTCCGAAATGAGATGCATTAAATACAAAATAAAACTTTTTTATAAAAACTAAAGCGTCATTCAATACGTCATGCAGTAGACCTTCATTTTTCCATGAATAAAAATCAGCATTATTGATTATTTCGGTCGTATTTGAATTAGTTTTCAACTATTTCAAGCCTAAAGTTAGTAAGAAAAAGAGGAGAACTTTTAGAAAGAAATTTTCAAACTATATAACGTGGAAGTAGAACATTTAGAGCTAACTCAAGAGGTTTAAGCGGTAACAGTGACGGGCGATGGAAATAACAATCCTATGTGCAATAAAATTGAAGAATCATAAGAAAAATCCAAATCTTTTTTCTAGTTTTTGGTCGTTAACACGCAAATCAGCACCGGCAGCCTTCATGGTGAAATCATTGCCCAAAAAGGCAAAAATAATAAGGTCGATTTCATAAATATTATTTTATAAATTATGAATATGTATATAATATGATATGATAATATACAAAGGCAGAGAATTCATGAAAGTAATTACACAAATTTATTAAATATAAATTCTTACAAATTAATTCATATGATGATAAATTTATATCTTCTAAGAAGATATAGAATATAATTTACAAAAATTTATTGATAAATACATGTTTTATTTCTCTTTCAAAATTAAAATTATTTTATTAATCATTGACTTATATAAATTTTCTATTATAATATTGCTATTTCACATAATTCAGAGACACAATTATTCATATATTAATTTTTTAATCTAGATGACATTGGTGTTATATGCGTGGCATATATTGATATTATAAAATAAAAATGTGTTATTGGTATCATCATTTTTTAACATATATTATCACATATTTTCAAAAATAAATTTAATTATTTGTCACATGATTTATGTTGCGTGGTAGAATTATAAAGTTAGAAAATTTTCATCTCAGCGTTGTACGGATATACAGCACACAAACATAAGAAAAATATAACATCTGAATTTTTACGTGGAAACCCAAGAAAAGGTGAAAATCATGGAGTCACGTCCAACTGAAAAGATTCAACTAGTTTTTTATTAGATTACAAGTGTCTGACTCGTCTCTGAAATTGAGGACGATCAGATTACAATAATCAACCTTGGGTTGAAATCCAGTTACAAGCGGAGATCAGAAATCCATCGATGTTTGATTGTCGGGCAAAAATCCGACTTCAATTGATGGTCGGGCAGAAATCCAATGTTAATCAGTTGTTGGGAAAAACTCAGGCATCAGTCGACTACTGGGTGGAAGTCCAGCGATGGTCGAGGAGTCTGATAGCAAGAGAGCTCTCTCCCTTCTCTTCCCTTGCTTCATTCTCTTCTCTTCTTGTTTGGGTCCCCTCTTATGAAGAATGATGGATCAATTTATAATTTTTTGAGAGTGACATGATCATTAAATATGAGGAAAATCAAGGATAAATTGGGAGTAATTTGAATGGATGGCTAGCCAATGTTGATTGCCTTTGATCATGGACAGTTTACTGGACATTCAAATTTCTTAATGATATCAAAATTTGGCGATCTTGGGCTCATTGGATTCATCTCGTCGAGTTGCTCGATTCGGCTATAAGCATGTCATATTTGGAAACCTTTTGGTATTCCAAATTATGGTTGAACCTTCCAAATGCGCTTTGGTTCCTTGATTTGGACCTATTTGAGCTCAAATTGGGTTGAATTTAGTGTCGTTAGGTTTGTATTTTTGAGACTTTCAGTTCGACTATTCATTTGCTGAAATCAACATTCACCAATTAATTTTTGAAGTTTCCAACTTGATTTTGCTTCAAGATCATGCCCTATCAAGATAATTTTTTGACGATATATAAATATACATATTGCCCTTTTAAAAATTTGCTCCTATTTCCATTATTCGTCATGCTCATCTCTAAAATTTTTTGCCCTCATTTAATTTCACCCCACTTAGGCTTTTAGGTTATTGATGGACAAACCTGCAAAGGGGGGTTCTATTGGCGTGACCAACATATCCCTTGATACTTGTTGGAGTAATGATGGCCGAATGGCCTTGCTTCTAATACGGACCTATTATAACTGGCCATTCCAACGGGGCTGATGCAGGCATGTCCACAGCGGCTTACCCACCCGCCTATCTCATTACTAGCCACGCCGTGGGAAAACAAACCCCCATCCAACTGCCGCACTAATAAGTCTTCATTTCAGTTGAGCGGTAGGTCTGAAGTCGGTGGAAAGTCTTTATAAAACCCGCTTTATTTTAAACAACTCCTTCCATGCTCAGTACAAGTTCATTGCCAACTTAACAAGCAAAACTTGAATGATCAACAACTATCAATCAATGATTCACTACTAAAACACAATTCAAATCTATATGTATACACCATTGAATACCTAATACTGCTCAACTTTCACTCTGGCAAATCTACCCATCACTTTCTTTCTTCTTTTCTATCTCTCTATCAGATTATATATTTTTAGGACATCAGAAAGCACATTCTAACAGCAACCAAATAATATTTTCCCTTCTATGTACAAAGACAACAAACTGAAGCAGGAAAACCGAATAATTCTCTATGAGCAGGACCTGATGAGTCCCAGGTTGTATAGATTCCGCTTCACCAAATTGCCCAGATATAGAAGACCGGAAGGTTCGTCACGGTCCGAGCCAGGCCGCTTTTGTCCGGTCCACAGCGGCCGATCCTCGCAGGCCTTGAGGCTGCCAGCGCCGATTCGTTTGATGACATCCTCGATCGTTTTTCGGTCGGCTGGGTGGCCGCCGGCGTCCGTCACGTAGAAGACGTTCACGGGAATCTCCCCCTTTGTCGACATCTCTGCCCTTGTCACCGATAGCCCATTCTCCCTAAAAGTCCTAGTGGCCTCAGCAAGCAACCTTCTACCTGGATCCGCCACGCAAAGCTCCAATCTTAAACCCTAATCATAGAAAGAATAACAAAATTAAATTAAAAATAAAAAAAAACTATATCCGAAAGGAATCAGTCGTGGCGGAAAAGGGAAGCAACAAACCTCGGATGCTCTGCGGTCTATGGCTGCTTGCAAGCATTGGATCACTCTCTGCCGCTCGGCTTCGGAGCTAATCGGGCTTCCGTCAGAATGCCGAATGTAGAATTCCTGAGCGTATTTGGAGACGAATGAGAATCAAATTTGCAATTGATTTCAGAAATTTGGGAATTGTGTAAAGGAACAAGAGCAATTACTTGATAGGCTCTATCTCCGATGGTGTCGATGGTTCCGTGGAAGACGACGTACTTCATGTCGGTGAGAGTGCAAACGACGTCGAACAGAAGTTTTGGACGGTCGGAACACTGCACGTTGACTATCGAATAACCCCGCTCTGCCCAGTTTTGTACGGAGACAGAGGGCTGACCGCCGCCCCGGAGCTCATAGTCGCGGTCGGCGAACATCATCTGATGCAAACGGCGATCAGCACGGGTTCCTCCGGCAGCCTCGGTGGAGGACGAAGACAAAGCGGTGGTAGCCCCGCGAACAACGTTGCGTAGGCGAGCCTCGATGCGGCGGATCTTGTCGGAGTCTTCAACCGTCGTGCCGGAGTCCTCATCCTTGATGGAGATGAGCGCTGCGATTCTGCCCTTGTGAGTCCAGAGCTTCGCTTCGACCACGCTGCAGCGAAGGTCGGTGAGGACGGCAATGACCTCAGAGAGGAGCCCCGGGCGGTCGGTACCGACGAGCTCTAGGTTTGTGAGGGCCTCCAGTCCGCAGGATTCTGGGTCGGTTTCGTCGCCGGCTGAACTAATGGATCGTTCTATGTAGGAGATAACGCTTTCATCGGTGAGCTTCTGGCCATGACGGTCGGTGACGTGGAAGACGTCCATGAACCACCGGCCATCAGAGGATATGTAGGCCTTTCGGATCGAGAGGTCAAGGTCAGTGAGCACCTGCACAGCTTCGAGAAAAATCCCATCCTTCCTCGCGCTATCAACCTGAATTAAAAACACCACGAGTCAGATTCCATCAAACCTCTTCTAGCTAGTGGAAAATTAGAAAAATTCAATAACCGATGGTCAATACCTTCACCAGAGTTGCAGTGGCGCAATCTGCATTGTCAATAACCACCCTGCGACAAATTCAAATGAAAAACCAAAAGGAACCCATCCGTAAGGAGATCAAAACTTCCATATTTAAAACGCAAAAGAAAAATTACCAAATTCAAGAAGAAATTTCTCTCATAACCAGCAAATCAACAAATGGAAAACAGAGAAGACGAAGAAATAGCAGAAACTATGGGAGCAAAAAAAAAAAAACCCATGATCTGCTATTTGCACAAATTTAACCAACTAAAAGATCACGAGAAGATAAAGGAAATCGCGCCCAGTGCCAACCTTGGATTGTTCATCCGAATAACAAGCTTCTCGTACTCGTCGAGAGACTTCGGCCATTCCATCCCTCCTCTGTTTCAAAACTCCCTCTCTCTTTTTCAGTTTTTCTCTCTCGCTCTCGCTGTAGCGCAGGAGAGAAAGCCCCAAGCAGGTTGGTAGGGTTCTGAGAGGATTCTTTTCAGGTATTTAAAGTCCATCCACAACGTGGGCGCGCAGATCGGACGTTCACATGGCGTCGGGGTGCAGCAGCGACAACCCTATTCGCCAGCTATTCCCGCATAGCCACAGTCAACAACCCTTCCGTCCACGTGTCGACCTACTAGACATCTTCGCCTTCTGGCAACGCGATCTCGACCATTCATTCCCACCCTCTTCGTTGCGCCACGTGGCTAGTGGAGCGGGACCCTAACTTATAACCCAAGCGAGCGCCTTGCCGGCCGGTGAAGTGGTCCCACCTCAGAGACGCAACCGGACATGAGGGCCGACACATCCACCTCGTCAGCGCTGTGCCTTCTAAGCGGGCCAATTGCCAACCGGCGGCCGGCGCCGCAGAAAGGGTTCTGTTTGCGCCTGAATTAAAGGTCCAGAGGGAAAAAAAAAACATAGGAAACGAAAGCAAAATTTTGGAGAAATTATTCTATGCGGAGATTGGATGAGAACTTCTTTCAAATATCAATCAAAATATGTCCGTGGTACCGAGTAAAGAATAACGTGGGTCTCTGAATAATATTCGGCTTCCTCACAGAATAATTAATCTAAATTTTGAGCTGAAATACATGAAATTATTCAAAACAAATCCTTTTGGCGCAATATGTAGAGTAGATCAACGGTGACAAATAAAATAGAATTGTATCAATACCTTTTCACCTTTCTTTTTTAGGAATATATATTTTTTCACTTTAGAAATTAATTGTTATGAGAGTGAAATATATATAAATGTGTCTAATTAATTAAGATATATTACTTTATAATCTATCTTATTTTAATAAAGTAAAATTATAAATTTTATTTGAAAGAAAGAGGCATGAATTCATCCTAAATAATACTCTTCATAAAATATAAAGTTTCAAAAAAATTATGCCAAATAATCCTCATAATATTCCACTTAAATTTACGATCACCCTCACATTTTATTGAATGATATGATTTTTATAGATTTTTTTTTATTTTTAAAAAAGTTGAATAATATTTATTTTTTATATATGTTGCATCCTGGAATATTCGTGGCGATAGAGAAATATAAAATTTAGCGTCTTAGCATTGTACGAAAATCCAGCACACAAGAAGATAAGAGAGAGGGTGTAGCATTCATAAGAGACACCATAGTTTTTTACGTGGAAACCCCTGAAAAGGGGGAAAAACCACAAGGCCTGGCTCAGTTTGAATGAATCCACTAGTATTTACAGTCGATTACAAATAAGGCCCTTCTTTAGGAGGAGGCCTTGGCTTGATGTCATAAATATACATCATATAGTGTGCATTACATTGTGGGAGCTACAATAATCAACATATATGTGTTTGTTTGATTGGAAAGATCATAGTCGGCATGAGACAGGGGGCCGAAAGACTGTGGTAGAAGGGCAGTACTCCAGGAGAACTCTGGCATCAAGTGGTGGCCCAGAAAGAGTCTGGGTATCAGATGGTGGCCTGGTGGAGCTCAGGGCTCACGTGCTGGTCCGGCTGAACTCCGGGCATCAGGTGGTGGTTTGGCAGAATTCGGGTCTCAAGATGGTGGTCCGGCAGAACTCCGGGTGTTAGGTGGTGGTCCGATAGAAGATCGGGCCTCAGGGTGGTGGTCCGGTAGAACTCTGGGTGTCAGATGGTGGTCCGGGCCTTAGGTGATGGTCTGGTAGAAGTCCGGGTGTCAGGTGGTGGTTCGACAGAAGTTCGGGCCTCTTGTGGTGGTCCGACAAAAGTCCAGGCGTCAAGTGGTGGTCCAGAAAAAGTCCGGACGTCACGTGGAGGAGGCTTGGAGCACAGGGCCTCAAGTGGTAGTCTGACGGAAGTCCGGGCGTCACATGGTGGCCTGGTTGAGCTTAAGGCCTCAAGTGGTGGTCTGGCGGAGCAACGATGTCAAGGGGTGGTTCGGCAGAACATAAGCGGTGGTCGAGGAGGAGCGAGGAGGCAAGAGCAATCTCCGGTCTCTCAATTGCTCTCTTGCTTGGAACCCCTTTTTCAAGGGAGAGGAGGGGTCTATTTATAGATTCATAGAGTGACATGGCCCGTAAATAGGTGTGAGATCAAGATCATATGGGGGAGTGGCTAAATGAACGGTCGATATTGAATCCCTTGAACATGGATTGTTCGTCAGACATTTAAAGGTCTTAATGATGTCGAAATTTGGCGATCTTGGGCTCATTTTATTTGTCTCGTTGAGCCGCTCGATTCGAATGTAAGAATGTAATGTTTGAGAACTGTTTGGTGATCTGAATTGTGGTTTGAATCTTCCAATAGTGGTTCAGGTCCTTGATTTGGACTCATTTGGGCTTGGATAGAGTCGAATTTGGTGTTGTTGGGTTCGTATTTCTGAGACATTCAGTTTGACTATAAGTTTGCTGAAATCGGAGTTTGGATTGTCCCAATTTTAATTTCGAAATTTTTCAACTTGATTTTGCTTCGAGATTCGTGCCTGATCAAGATAATTTTTTGATGACATATCAATATATATTATTTTTTATTCTAATTGTATAGCATTCTTAATTTTGGCAATTTATAGAATAAATATAAAAAAATGATGTGTAAAATTGTTCAGCAATAACAACAACATCAAGCCTTTGTCCTGCTACGTGCATGAGGTTGGCTACATGGATATTTTTTCTCCATTGTGTTCAGTTAAAAGTCAAATTCTTGTTTAAATCTAATAAAGAAAGATCATTTCTTATATTTTTTAATCAAATCTCTATTTACTTCTACCTTTCTTAACATAAGTCAAATCTAATACCTCTATTTTCCTAGCTGCGTCATCCGAAGGCTGCTCTTTTATGTGATTGATGTGTAAAATTGTGATCAAAATGAAAAAAATAATAAATTGAGCTAAAAATCTCCCCAATTATATATATAATTTGAAATAATTATCAAAATAATTAAAAAGGATCTGAATATTCTCACAAGCCTAAGTAAATGAGCCCACCCTTTTGTTACAACATAAGACAACAATTTATGAGTTTCATAAGTTCAACATTCACTATTTTTTATAAAATAAGACAAAATAATTTGAAGATTTTGTTTTATTTCTTAGGAATTTGCTCCATAAATAAATACTTATTTGTTTATCATAAAATCCAGAACTTGGGAAAATGCAAGAGCTGAGAGAGAACAAAGACCTCAGTTCTCACGCCCAATAATAAAATAATTTTTATTCTCCTGTCTTCCCTCTGATGCAATAGCGCAAATTACCCAATTAATCCTATTTTTTACCTAATAAAAGTTCACCCGATTAAAATTATTTAACAACATAATTACTTTATTAGATATGATCCTTTCTTGAATATATACTTCAATTTAGTTAAGAAAAGTTTACTTCTAAATCATTTAATGTCATAAACTATTATGATTATCATCATTGATTGAAATAATGATCCTTTCTTGAGATTAAAAGATCATAGCTCCTCTATCTATTTATATTCATAATTTGAAATAATGAGAGACTTTTAGCTATTAAATATGAAAATTTTAATATAATTTAATTGGAATGTTTTCATATTCTAATGATTTATCTACAATTTAAATTTAGTTTTCATTAAAATAAAAAAAAGGATAATATCATTTAAATGTGGAAATATTCACATATATTTAAGAAAATTAGTGGAATCTTCTCCAAATGATTTAATCAATTTAGTAATTTATTCATAAGTTATTATTAATCATATGTTCTTAGGAAAATATGAATAACAACTAAAAAATTAATATCATATTTATTGAAGGTAATGAAACAAGCCATAATGAATCCATATGTCCTAACCAAGATTAAGGGAAAAATTCATTCTTTCCTCATTTGAAAAAAAAAAAAAAAGATTTTATGAAATTATTAAAATAAAAAAGGCACAAGTGATTAGATTGTTTTATGAATTCATATATACTAATCAGAAAGATACAAGATTTCATAGCTTCAAATATATATAAATCATTTAAAATCAATTTAAAAGGCCTTTTGTCTCATTCTGCTTTGAGGTTTAGATATATGAGTCATCATTTTCTAAACCAGTTACTAACAATTTGTGCATTACAATTGCGAATCATTAATAACGCACTAAAAGTATTTGAGTCGTTGCATGTAGGGTCCACCACTATGTGTTAGATTTAAAAAATGATGGGGGAATGGTTGAGTCATTTTCTAATTGATTTGATGACTCACATCAAGCCATATCATGCACCATTTCTATTTTAGAAAATAAATATTTATATAGCATCAAATCAAACTGTATTTTAGTTACTAATCCAATTAATCTATATTAGATAATATAAAATCATCTTTTAACACTATTTGTGGCATCAATGTATGTGTGATTTGAAGAGCTCTTTTTGACAAAAGATGTACTATCTCTCCTCCCTAATTTTATGAAATTATTAGGGGGTAGGATAGATGGTGAATAAAGTATCATTATGATAAAGTTTAAATACTTCCAATAGGCTTAAATAAAGATTGAAATGAGATTTCAATAAAATTTGGCTTTGAGTTAAGTTTAAATTTAAGTAATATCTATTAGTGAAAGGCTTAAAATACTTATAGGTCAGAGGGAACTTAATTTATTAGCTTGATATAGGTGTTCCTAATGCATATGAGAGTATTAATGGGCTAAGAGTGATTTAGGATCTTTAGATATTTACTCTTAAGTCCATTTTTTAGACCTTTAAGTGCAAAAGAGAATTATCTAATATTAATGAGGTAAGGATTTAGGATGGATTTGATCTAGAAACATCTTTATGTAATTTATTTTACTAGGATTTAACATCTAAAAGTTGTTTTAATATTCTAGAATAGCTCTATGCTAATTAGAAAGCAATTATTGGGACTCTTATTGCCTAAGAGGGAGAGTCTATTATTTTCCAACTTAAGGTATGACCAAATTAACATAAAACATTATGTTTAGCTTTAGTTAAATGCCAATTTAGAGGATTTATAGTTCTATGGATGCTAAATCAACACTTGGTTTTGAAGGGTTAAAGTTTATTTCGATTAATTTGATCAAATCCAAAATATATGTTTAATTGGCTGAAGTATAAGCTTATTTGATCAATTAATTCAAATGAGAATGACCCTGGGCAATCATATAACTTTATAAAGCTTTGATAATTTCAATTTGGTCTTAGGC